CCTTGTCACGATTATGCGTTTTACGAATATGATGACCTAAACGCTAAGGCAAAGAAGTTTTATCATTTGAACATATTGATCGTAATTCGTAGAGCTAAATACTTAGATTACGCTCACAATGTTGATCGCTGCAATTGTCCTGTTTTTACGCATTCTTTGAAGGTAAAAAAACAAACTCTTTTAATCGTTCGATGTAGAATTATTCTTGTATTAATTAAAAACTTAAATATATAGCGAAATGGACAATAACATTTGTGAATTCATGTTCCGGAAATAATATGTTAAGGAATTTTAGCATATTTTTTTAAACAATTGGGTTGTTATGATTTTTTTTCTACAGCTTGTCAAAGAATAACACTTTTTGAACTTTAACCAAAAAGACTGCACTGCGACAACATCCATTTACAAGTTAAAAAAATAAAACAACCACACAAGTGAGACAAAATTAAATTCCATCGATAATCCGGCGTTTGACTTGAGTTTGAAATCGCTTAAAAGGATCGTTCATTCAACCTTAAAGCTATAAACATAACCATATGATTTGTGCACGTTAAAATATTTAAATGTTACCAACAAGCCCGATTGGGAAATCATAATTACCAATTAACAAAGATTATACGATTCGATGATAATAATTATCTAACACGTATAATCCAAACTTACCTTTGATATTAATCAAAATAGATAAATTACGTATACAATAGATAAAGATAGACTAAACGCGCTGTTTTTTAATCTTTTTTTAATCTTCCACGAGTCACACGCAATCTCTGACCCTCATGGCATTGGCAATGGGTGGGTCACAATGTTATAACGTAATTATTGGGGAAGAATGTTAATTCCTCAATAATTTTATTGTATTTATATATATTTTTTGTTGACTTTTCCAATTAATACGATCTCTATAAAATTATGTAGTTTTTGGCACTATACACGATCGTCTTGCGAGTTGACATATTTAACTTTTCCTCTATACAACTATCATCCGTCGTCTCTATTTGCTCCCCCCTTCTTTCTTGGCCATAGCCCTTTTTCACATTTTCCATGCTTTCTTTTGTTTTCCACCATATTTAATCATAAAGTTAAAAACAAAGGGCATATAGAGTTACCACAGATTATAAAAAACTGAATTAAAGACACTATATGATGCTTATCTTATTTAAATACTACACTTAAATATTGTTTCTTAGCATATCTAGTAACTATGTAATATGTAATTAATTATTATTAAAAGAAATTATCAGAAGCCTATCTTTGATCTATTATTTTGCAGCGTAATGTTGACAAAATGATAATTATCACTGTGTTTAAATCAACGTTATTTAAAAATTTTAATGTTGGTACAGAAAACCTTTTAATTTCTCGTATCAATAATTAAAAATTGCTAAGTAAAAACTTACCATATTAGATTTTTTCTTAAGTTAATTAAAATAAAAATATTACGGAGAGACTGTTTTTAAAACACACTCAAAATGGAACTGGCTAAAAACAATGTCTGTTAGCAATTTTTTTTTACAGACATGCGGATGAAGTGTTCGAAATTCAAAAATTTTCACCCAGTTGGCGCGACCGACCGTTGCAGACACACTTGTATACTGCCATGTGCCTTTACATATGAACTACACGTAGAGAAATGCGTTCAAACAAAATGTAACTTTATTGTTGAAAAAATAAAAATTAATTTAATCTGCATAGCCGCTTGTTTATATTTTCATGACAGGGTAAGTCGTAACCGGTTTTACCAAAGAAAAGTCTCTAGCTACTAAATCGTTTTATGACATTTAATGCAAAAGCGTAGGAAAACATAAAAAAAAAATACTTTTATACGTATTAAAAGATAAATAAGCTTATAACCGTGGTTCCAAGTTTACAAAGATACAACTAGAAGAAGCAACGAAAACATGTAGACGGCATTATAAACGTTCATGACTTGCAGTTTATTTTTATGTTATACAAACAAATTTTTAAACACAACACTAATTAAATTAAAACAAATTTATTAACATTCCAGTAGTCTATGTTCATTAAGTTCACCTTATACGCACTGCGGAAAACTTTACTTAAATAGACCAATAGCGTTGCAATGCGAAAGTTCAACGACCAATCGCCACCCGACCCCGGCGAGCAGCATTTCAGTACTGAGCTTTTGCTTTGCGTTTAAAGTCCTCTTAATAAAGCTCGACTTAACATTTATTTTAAGGAGCGTGTTCTTATTTTAATGAGAAGTATTTTACACCAAACATAATAAATATTTTCTTTGAAAATCGTGACTTTTAAATTATTGCACGATATTTATATCAGAATTCCTTAATAGTTTCATCATCAAAATCATGATTTGAGAGTCTAACATTACCCAATACATAGGTTTTATGCTACTATCGCCCTGGGTGAGATTTCTACGGTACCCCCTTATAAGGGTCGACGTAAGCAGGGTTATGACTGTGACGCAGACATAGCTCCACCTTCTATTTTTTTTATATGAGAAGGGGGCAAACGAGCGGCGGGAACACAAAGGTGGTCAACGACGCCCATGGACATCCGCAACACCAGACGAACTACAGATGCGTTGCCGGCCTTTATTCTATCCAACGCCCTGAGCGTTCGCCTAACCGAGCTTTAACCTAATACCGGCCCTGGGAGCTGATAATTATTATTTAAAGAGAGATAATCTTTTTATTCGTCTTTAGTTATTGTGGACTACATTGTGATTTGATTTGGTCCAGCAATTTTTTCTATTTCTTCCTATCTTTGTTCACGTTCCTCCAGTTTGCTATGCTAACGTTTTTCGCATCTATGAAAATTATACTCTGGAAAATCATCGTGACGTCATTCAAGTATCACGTTAGTTTCTACGTTACTTCGATTTTACGTCAATAATAAGATATTTATAGATTATGGTAAGCATAATTTCCTTACGTAAACAACTTATACATAAAACTCCATAAAATATTTTTATAGTAATGTTCTTATTTGTAACAATACTTTTGAAATGGTGTTATACGTCATTGCAATAAAAATGTAGTTATGAGATCTACGAAACGCTCTTATGACAGTTAATTGCGATTGTTATGTGCAAAAATTATTATTAACTGTCTAATAAAACGTTCTTACAAGATAATGGAGAAGCGATGACTTCGTGTAATCAGTCGTTATCTTAACAAATATGTATGAAGATTCACTTATTTGCTCTTGTATATGTTGTCTGTGATACCGATATTTAATCCGCATGCGGATAAAATGACAAAAGGCTTTATAAATTCATTTATCTGTGTGTTGCTGAAATCGGGTAATTACTGAGTAGCTCGTTTCCCTAATTAAAATAAAGAAATTACTTGCTTTATTCTGATTCTCCTCTCTCCTCTTATATCTTAAATAGTCAACTGCACTTCATGTATGTAATGTTGGTGAAAGGAAAACATCGTGATGTCTGCACATATCGGCGAAGAAATTTAAATATATGTGTGAAGTCAACCAACCCGCAGTACGCCAGCATGTCACTATGGCCTAGTCACCCCTAACTTAGGGAACATTTAGTAAGCTGGTGATGATAATGATGACCTTATGTATCTATATGGTTACTCAATAAATGTCTGTATTTACACCTCGGTGTCAATCTCGATTCTCGAATCTCGAGAATGTCAAGATAACTTATAATCTCGACGACAATAGATAAGGAAAAGAAAATGTCTTATGTGAAAGTAATTGACACAACGAAGATGAACAGCTTGTTTTTAACGACATGGATGAGATAACAGCAGGAAGTTAGAATATTCAAATGTCGTATCTTTTACTTTTATTCTCTTACACTCTTTGTAGAATCTCGATAGGGTGGTTTTTTATGCTATTTTAGTTTTATGGTAAGTCTCCATTGTTGTAGCATCTGTGTGACAACGATTCCATTCTTCTCATTATCTTAGGAATTATAATTGGATGTAGTAACCTCCGCTAAGTCCTCTGCATCTTTGTAACATGTTCTATTCAAAAAAGTGGGAATGCAAAATATAATAAATTAATTCGGACACGCTCACTCGAACGCTGTATTGCCCCCTCTTGAGATCTGTCTATGTGGTCGTGGTATTGCACTGTGCGAGCCAGCCTATGCAAATTATTGTAAGCTCTAGTCTGAAAGATCTAGTTCTCATATTCTTGTAATATTTTTATTGAATCTCATTATCAAAAGAGATTCAATGCTGACTATACCATCAGATACAAAATTTTAAGGGTAGGCACCGCATCTGTAATTGCAGTTGTCTATGGGCAGCGTCACTTAGCGCATCACGTGGCCGCTGGCTCGTTTGCTACCATATAGTAAATATAACAAAAATGCAATAGTTAGATCCTATTCTAACAGCAAACAAAATATCGTACCTGTAAACGCCATACCACACTACATGCATTCATCAACCAAGCATTAATATTTACAAAGGACAGATGGCGCTGGAATGAAGCCATAACTTCATTAGGTAAGAAGGTTCGCCTTGACACCCCGCGTACGTTGCACCAAGATTAGATGGTCACTATCTACATGATCGCATTTAAACAAGGTTATGTGATAATATCGAACTGCAAGATATCATTATTTGTAAGACAATTGAAGACAATGTTTAACAATGCTGAACTTTTATCAAAGAGCCATTTTTTTATAAATGCGTTGGACGCGATCCCAGGCGTAAAATATTGTGTCTCGTTCCGTTGATGTGCCACCCCTAGCTTAGGGGCTACTTAACCTATTCTTACAACAAACTATTAACTATTCCGATTAATAATATAAAGTTTAAACTGCAAGGAAAAGGGTTGGTGGTGGTTATCATTACAATAATCTAAAATTATTTTCAAAAATCGATTATTTTTTATAATGCAAAATTAAACAGCAACAAAAATCCTAGTACGGTTGTCGATATTTTTAATTTTTGGAAAACACTTTTTTATGTTCAAAAACGTTTTCATTTTCAAATAAAACACCAAAATTCACTAAAGTTATTTGTCGTTTTAATGTATAGTAATGTAATATAGAGCACATGAAGATCCATGGACGGGTGTCAACTGCTCACCGGCTCACCAGATGACGCCTCGGTATCTCTATGTTTCCTAAACAAAAATAATTAAATAAAAAAAATGAACCGACAACTTTCTTTTAATACTACTGAGAATGTTGGTTTTTTGTTATCAAGAACATTTTTTTACTCTATGAAAGCCGAAAAAAAAACAAATGATGTAAAGAAATGTAAGCATTCTAATTCTGTAAAAACTGCCAAACATTGACTCTTAATATTACCAATTGTCACAATAAACCCTATTTGCGTGAATAACAAAAATATCTATACTAATATTATAAAGAGGAAATATTTGTATTTTTCTATGCATTGGAATAACTCAAAATCTACTGTCCGATTACATAAAATCTATAGGCTATGTTTTTTTATTATTTCCTAATTTACGCGGGCGAAGTCGCGAGCAACAGCTAGTCATTTATAGACTTAATTACTTTATTAATAAAATAAACACTATCACATGCTGCAAAGATAATCTAACCTAAATACTAAGTAAACACTACAAGACTGCATATCTATTGTTTCATTCAAGGTGCTGTCATAAAATATTACGCAAATTAAAAAAAAACAATATTCTCTATGACTTACGATTTAATTGGTCTGTTACGCACAAACTAACGTCGCGTGGACAAAAACAACAAACAAGAGACATCCGGCCGTTAGTTACGATTAACGAAAGCACGCAGTTAATTTGAATAATCGATTTAGCGCGGTCACCAAATTGTGTTACGAAAATAACTGCTACCTTGTTAGGAAGTACTTATTTTTTCCAACATAATTAGGCAAAGGACAATAACAAATACTGCCACAAGAAGTTGTACAATGGAATAGTTGCCAACGGGGACATTAGTAAGAAGCAATCGACAGTCTTACAAAATATGTGTGATAGTTAATCAAACGATTGACACTGAAAGCCGTGGTCACTAACGTACTTAGGATATGTTTTTTATACTAAATATATTTTTAAGGAAGACGTTAAAGGAATTTAATAGAGACAGTGTGAAGATAATTGACGGTATACTGACTGCAGAGAGCGCGCGGAGGCGGCGAGCTGGTGCCAGTCCTCCATGGTCTGCGGCATGCTGCGGCCCGCCGTCTCCGGCAGGAACAGCGCCGCCGCGCCCGACAGCGCCGCCAGCGCCGCCATTATCATCAGCGGCAGACCTTCCCACGCACGTTCCTGTAAACAAAGCAATTTTAGAAATACGAACATTTGTCTCCGATACTTTTTCCTTTTGTCGCTTATCTTTTTTGAGTGAATAGATTTAAGTAATGAAATATCGTCGTTGAAGTTTTAACAACACGTAAGTCACATTTTAGCCATTCTGATATTTTGATGCCATCCGCTAGAGAATCGGAGGACGCATCGTTACAGCCTCAGAAACACGTACTCTACATAAATGTGGTAACTTTACAAAATTATGCAGTTTTTTTTTTCTCGTCTGATAAGTTTCTTTTTTTTTCATACATGGTGTTAGAACTTCAACAAAGATATGCTATAATGAGCCTATGTTCTATCCCAAATTGTAATGTTTCTCTATGAGAAATTTAAAGTCGATCATAACAGAAATATACTAAGGCCTAATCACCCCTAAGTAAAGGGTGTAACACAGAAGCTCGGAAGCCGGGAATTAGACGTGGGGACGTATAGTGATGATAATGACAGCAGTTGTAGAGTTATTTAGTATCAAAAAGCCATCCTTGCATTTATCTTTGTAAAATATGTGTAGATCTGTAATATAGAGTGTATTCTTACCGAATATACAATGAAAGGCGAGACCACGAGGCCCGCGAAGGCGCTGATGTGCACGAGCGAGGCGCCGGCCGCGCGGCTGGCCGTGGGCAGCAGCTCCGGCGTCCACTGGATGACGGCGCCGTACGCCATGTTGATGAAGAAACGCGCCAGCGTCGCCACCGCCACTGTTGCTACGCCTAAAATAATAAATCTTCCTTTTTCAAAAAAAATTCATTTTTCCTAAGATAACTGTGAAGAAAAAGAGATTTAAGTCCTTAATGATCGTAAACTGTGTAGCTCAATTGTATTTCCAGAAGTTCACAAGAACATTGGTAGAAGTTTTGAAGTAAAGTGAATAAAAAATGTAAGTTACCGCGAGGAAGGAAGGCAGTTATTAGAGATAAAACGCCTGTCACCATAACAGGAGCAAAAACTAATTTCCGTCGACCGAATCTGGAAAAGAAAAATATAATTAAACATGGTACACACATTGTTGCTTATCTTACTAGTATTATAACTGTGAAAGTTTCGATGGATGTTTGTTAGAGTTTGTAGCCTAAACGGTTAAACGTATCTCAATGAAATTAGGAATAAACGTAGAAGATAGTCTGGAAGAACACATAGGCTACTCATTATTGTTTTTTCTACTTCCGCGCGAACGGAGTCGCGGGCGAAAGCTAGTATAACTTAATTTAACAAACCTGTCCAACAAAAACACCAATATACCAATAGACGGTATCTCTGATGCGGAGGTGATGGCGAAAGTGATGAACAGATCGAGGCCGAGGTTCTCCGACATTCGGATGATGCCGTCGAAAATCACCGCCACCGCCATAAAGGCAATCACCAAGAGAACCAGCATCTTGCGAAGAGCTGGTTCCTTTAGTAGCGTGAAAATATTCTCTTCTTTTTCGTTGTTAGTTATCCCAGCAAACTTGAAAAGAAATGAAGGATTATAATGGCTTAATAAGGTCGTTCCTAGAAGATTATGATCGTAGTTCTGTGAATTGGTAAGCAAATTAAAATACGCTAGTCTATTGTCAAAACTTACAATGAAATCATCCATCACTTGCTGCGGTATCTTAGTATTGTTAATTCTTTCGAATCTTTTCAGCAGCTTTACTGCATCGTCAATTCGACCCTTTGATACAAGCCACCTGAAAAATAAACAATTGAATTAAAGTTGCTTCTGCAAAGCTGGTTGTAAAGTGTTTGTTAGTTATGTATTGCTCAACCTATTTTTTTTATTTTATTCCTAATATCTATACATATAATAAAATTCGGGTGTCTGTTTGTAATACCAAAAGAAAAATTCTATATTTTAGGAAGATGATGTATTTGCTTTGCTGATAACGAAATTTGCATTTAAAAAATTTTTGCCTGTCTGTCTGTCTGTCCGCAAGCCACATTTGTGCCGGGTAATCTTTGCAACGGCTGAGCCGATATCAACCGGACTTTCACTAAAGAGTAAGATTTCGTGAACATGATGTATTTGGTTTGCTGATAACGAAAATCGCATTTAAAAACATTTTATCTGTGTCTGTCGGCAAGCCGCGTTTTAGTAGCTGACAAAGACGGGCATATCATAGGTTTATACTTTTTATATTAATATTAATTTTTTACTTTATATTAATATTGACGAAGTCGGGGGCAACAGCTAGTATTAATTGCAATCATCAA